AACAGAAAGGAAGCATCGGATGCAGCCGAAGGAAGAAACACAAGGCAAAGTCTTGGAGGACTCGAAACGTGAAGGGTTCATGTGTTTTCCCTGTGGGATCTGCACATATCAACCCCCACCTCCACCCCGGAACATCAGCGAGTGACATCATCAGGGGATGGGTTCCAAGAACCCTGCAGCTCCCTAGGTTCTCAGATGCTGAACCATCTTCTATAAAGTGGCATAGCGGGGCTGGCGCTGTGGCGTAGCGGGTAAAGCCGCTACCTGCAGTGCCGGCATCCCATATGGGCGCCAGTTCAAGTCCTGGCTGCTCCACTTCCAGTCCAGCTCTCTGCTGTGGCCTGGGAAAGCAGTAAAAGATGGCCCAAGTCCTTGGGCCCCTGCACTCATGTGGGAGACCTAGAAGAAGCACCTGGCTCCTGGCTTTGGATCGGTGCAGCTCCAGCCGTGGTGGCCAATTGGGGAGTGAACCAACAGGTGGAAGACCTCTCTCTCTCTCTCTCTCTCTCTCTCTCCCCCTCTCTCCCTCTCTGCCTCTCCTCTCTCTCTGTGTAACTCTGACTTTCAAATAAATAAATAAATCTTTACCAAACTTTATAAGGTAGCTTACGAAGTCACTTGCAAAGTGGGGTGTGCCGAGGTGCTGGGTGCCAGGTGTGGGGGCCTCTGGCAGCTCCAGGTCCTTTAGCTCAGGCAGTTGGGGTGCCAACCTTGGCAACTACATGGTTCCTGGTGTTGGGAACTATGGGTATTTGTAGCGGGTATAAGTGCTAGTGAGGTGTCCAGCAGTGCCTCTGTGTCCAGTGGTGAGACAGGGGCCAGCGATGATGGGGCCTGGGGCTGGGGGTGTGCAGGCATACAGCTACAGGCATGTGTGTGGCACCATGGGATGGCTCCATGGGAATGCACAGGTGTGGGGGCTGGAGTTGGCAGCATGCCTGTTCATGGCTGCAGGGGCCAGCTGTGGTCATGAGTGTGGTGATGGAGCCTGGAGACAGGAACTGGGGACAGCTGCATGTGTGCTGCAGAGTTTGTGGTGTGCATGTGAGTGGCTTCAGGGAACCTGAGATCTGGGCTCGGTGGCAGGACGCTGGGGCTACTGTGTGTCCCAGGGTGCCTGTGGCAACACCCGCTGGCACAGCTCTAAGGAGGAAGTGGAGTCTGGTACTTGCAGCCAAACCTGCAAGGGATCTGTGGCAGCTCTGCTGGCTGCTTGGGTTCTCTGGGGCCCATGAGGCTGAACATCGTGGGCTCCTCAGTGAGAGCTCTGTGTGCAGGGTGCATGGCGGCTGTGAGGGATGCTGAGGTCTCCAGTGGCTAACGCAGGGCAGGCCGCTGTGGGCTGCGACGCTCACTGGGTGGCCGCTTCTGATGGCCCTTGCTCTTGTTTTTCATCCTGGCTGTCTGCAGATGTCTCAGCTCTGATGGTCTCCCTGGGAATCTGGGCGGGTGGGGGCAGGAAGGTGTGATCCATTTCTTCCCCATCATAAAGATCAGGGCCAATATCCCCACACCAAAGACAGGTTTGCTGAGTCAAGGTTTTCCACGGCACAGGAACCTTCAGAAATGAGGACCCAAAGGCTTTGGTTTCCATACCTAGGTTTGACACAGAACAGATAATGTAGAACCATGACTGGACAAAGGCGACTGACCCAATGGTGATAGATGGGGCTCAGTGAGCCCTGCCTGTTCACGTTCTTCTCACTGTCACTGAGTCACGTAGGCTGGGATCCATCCGGACTGAGAACATTAGGACCTGCTCTCAAATGTGGGTCTGGGAGTTTCTCTGTGTCTTTTACACAGAGAGGTGGGGGCGGGTCTGGGTCACATTGCTGGGTTTTGTGGTTGGCTGTGGGGAGGGGGTTCCAGGTTCAGCCATGAACCTCAGGGAGAGAGGGGAACAGGACGGAGAGGTCAGGAGCAGGTCAGAAAGGTCCTTGTGTGTTGACAACATTCAAATCCTGATTCAGCCACATCAGAGAGGTCTTGCTTCTGAGCCCCAGTGTGGTGTTCAGCTTGCCAAGGGCCTGTACTGAGTGTTATTTTCTGAATCCCAGCAAACAGAAGTGGCCCCTTCCTGCAGTGCCCTGGAGGGTTTGGACGGCTGCCTGGGGAACCTGGGGGCCCAGGAGCTCCCTGTTGGTGCTGGGCAGTGCCAGCACAGGGGTGGGGATGATGCAGGCAAAATGAAGCTGTTCTACCCATTTTGTGTAGTTATTCTTGGGTTTCCTTTTATAAAAAGAGAGAGAGAGAGAGAGAGAGAGAGAGAGAGAAAAGATTTGCTGGGGCTTGTGCCACCGCATCAACCTAGACATTTCCCCTGTGTTATCAAAAGAAACTCAAAGAGCTGTGCAAGTGATCTGGTCCCCACGTGGGGCTCCTTCCTTGTCAGCCTCAGACCACGTGGGCTCAGCCTAGGCTGAGTTGTCTCTGTATGGAGCCTCTTGTCCATGCCCTGTCTGCCTTTCTCTGCCTTGGTGAGAGTGAGTGGTGAGTTGGGGGTGGTGTGGGGTCGGGGCATGGAGAGAGGTAGAAGGGAGAGTCAGCTTCTTAGGAGAGGAGTCTGCAGTGGCGAAGTTAGGGACTGAGACTTGGGTAAGGATGGCGGAGGGGCTGAGACTTTGTTGCCTCTGCCATGGGCTGCGGCCAAGGCTAAGCCTGAGTGAGGGGTGCTGCCCCAAGCGCCCATGGCCTGGGAAGGAGTGTGGAGCAGCCCGTCCTCTTGGACTTCTGACGGAAGCTTGGACCTGGGAATCACTGCCTCGGCGGCCTCAACCCCTATCCCTTGTGTGAGGTCTGCACTTGGAGTCCCAGGACGCAGGTGGCCTCGGCTCCAGCAACCCCCAGCCCTAGCCCCAGCTGCTGCCGGTGCTGGCACCTGCCTCCTGCACCACATCCCAGCAGGGCCTCAGAGTGAGGACAGTAGCCTGGCTTCCAATACCCAGGGCCAGGAGTCCGCGCCCTGGCTGGCCACAGGGGTCTGCCTCTTGTGAGCAGGTCCCTGTGCTCCGCCCACCCCCGAATCCTCTCTCCTCTCTCCTCCTTGGGAGCGCAGCTGGTGTGACTCTTGAGGCTGGCAGAGGTGGCTGCGTGGGCCTCTCAGCCATGGGACATGGAAGTTGAAAGCAGTCAGCCCTGGTCTGGCTCGCTGGTAATGCCGGAGAGGAACTGCAGAAATCAGGGACAGGAACAGATACACGCTTTGGCGACTGTCTGGCGACGCTGTCTTAGGAAAAGCTCCCGGGGTGAGGCTCTTCTGTGAGCCAGCAGGATGCTGCATTTCCATGGGAACCGTTCTCGCCAGAGGGTCTGGGCAGCCAGTGCTCCCCCAGCCTGGCCCCTGCCCAGCCCAGGCTGCGAGTGCGAGTGACAAACCGAGTGGAAACATAACGTGGCTTTCCAAATATTTTTGTATCTTTACATCTTGTATATTTTTGTTGCAACGTAGCATTGGAAACAGGTTCCATTCAACTCTTAAAAAAAAAATTCCGAGCCGGCGCCGTGGCTCAATAGGCTAATCCTCCACCTTGCGGCGCCGGCACACCGGGTTCTAGTCCCGGTCGGGGCGCCGGATTCTGTCCCGGCTGCCCCTCTTCCAGGCCAGCTCTCTGCTATGGCCAGGGAGTGCAGTGGAGGATGGCCCAGGTGCTTGGGCCCTGCACCCCATGGGAGACCAGGAAAAGCACCTGGATCCTGGCTCCTGCCATCGGATCAGCGCGGTGCGCCGGCTGCAGCGGCGGCCATTGGAGGGTGAACCAACGGCAAAGGAAGACCTTTCTCTCTGTCTCTCTCTCTCACTGTCCACTCTGCCTGTCAAAAAAAAAAAAATTCCGAGGCTGACACTATGATGTAGTGGATAAAGCCTCCACCTGCAGTGCCGACATCCCATTTGGGCTCGGGTTCGAGTCCCAGCTGCTCCAATTCCCATCCAGCTCTCTGCTGTGACCTGGGAAAGCAGTAGAAGATGGCCCAAGTCTTTGGGCCCCTGCACCTATGTAGGAGACCTGAAAGAGGCTCCTGGCTCCCAGCTTTGTATCAGCTCAGCTCTGGCCATTGTGGCCAGTTGGGGAGTGAACCTGCGGTGACTGTTCCTCGCCACCGCCGGAGAATTAGGCAGGCTGCCCGCAGCTTGCCTTGACCGAGGAGGGGAAGTGCGCCACCCACCACTCAGCCTTCCCCAAACCCCGGGGACAATCAGGCGCGGTGTGAAGCCCAGTCAAAGCAGGATCTTACTTTATTGTAAAAGGGAGGTGTATATATAGCTGAGGTAC